GCACCGTTTGATACACGGCCGCTTTTACGCTAATTGTAAGACTGTTTTACGAAACAAAATTCCATCGAATTCCGATATATCCCCGGGTCTCTCCCGAGGCTCCTGTTTTCAATTCGAGACCTCGTAATTTCAGAATGTCCCCGCGACATATAACTTCCAGCCATAACTCGCCTATAATACCGGAATTGAATTATTTTAACCTTGTCGATTAATACTATATTTGCACGTAACGTAGTAATTTAACTTTTACTCATTTCGACCGTGTGTCACTTTAGGTCTTTTTTTTTTTTTTTTTGTAGAATAAAGAAGAATCTTAGAAATTTATCACTTTCATTTACTCAGTTTTCAAAAAGAATTTGTTAGAAAGGTTCTTTTCCACGGGGAAGGGACGAAGGACACTCTGATCTACTAGAATTCCCAGAGAATTCACTCCACTCCCCCTACCAGACACATTGTGGACAGTCACTATAAAGTTTTAGGCGGTAAAAGTTTCACACTGTGTGTGATTCTTCCCCCAAGGACGACGAGTGGTGTCTGTGAAGAGATTTCCTTACGCAAAAAAAAAAAAAAAAGAAAGAGAATTGACACCTTTTAACCCGTTGCGCTGGCAACTGGTTCGCGCGGACCATAACGAGTGACCGAACCGAGTGTACAGTAATTCTCGTCGCTTTCATTTCCCTTTGAGCTCGTCGGCACGACATCACTGGATAGAAATGATTAAGAAGGAACAAACTTATCGTTCGTTTCGCCTGTGTTACATTTATGTATACTTAAAACTAAGAAAATGTTGCTGAGAAAAAGAAATTCTCGACGTGCGTGAGGTTATATGGCCAACAAGTACTCTAATTATGGAAATATTAAACCTAACTCGAGTCTAATTTCGCCTAATCTTCTCTCGACTTACAATGGATGTGCATTTTCTTGTCAATGGTGGAATAAAATTTAAAAAAAAAAAAAAAAAAAATAGTTCAAATTAACATAAGTCACAAAACTCTATAATTAATCAGTCGTACATTTAATACAGTATTTTCACACTGTCAGTGACATAAATATAATTTCTTATTAGTCGCGTGTATAATATGATACCTCGCGTGAAATATGTTATGATATTTCACACACGTATTATTCATTCATTGTACGAAACGTTGTTGAAACGAAACACACATTTGTTTCAAACTTATGTGCGAACTCTCTGGGTGCGCAGTTTGAAAAAGACAGATCCTATTGTATATGATCCGATCTCGGAATCGGATCATCGTGTGCCATTATATAAAAATGTTGAAACGTACAAAATTTCAGCCGAAACCTCTGGTCCATTGGGACGGACACGTTGAAATATATATTCCGTTATTTCAAACATTTATTGTACGTACTCGCGCAGGATTGCGCCGAACAAGGACATAAATACCAAAATAGATAGCGACAGATTTGCAGAAGTACGAATCGAGAATGCCCCCCGATGATTTCGCGGATTTATCTGTCGAATCTTTCAATTGGTGAACAAAAGTTACTCGCGAATAGAAACGAAACGGTTACAAATCGCGATCCTGCTCCAAAGCATTTCCAACGCGACGGAGGATTTCATCGTATTTTCACGCTGGCGCGGGAACTTCGCTCGAAATAAGAGAAATAATTTATCGTTGAATACACCGTGCACAGTTAATTATACAGTATCTTGTCTGATTGCCAAACTTCTGCTCTAATTAGTACTACGTACGATTTTGAACTTGTTAACAGTGAGATGAAATTAATTTTTCACGCGGCGTTAATTTTTTTTTTTTTTTTTCTTTTTCTTTCTTTCCCTTCAAGTTATATTTTATAACTAAGCTGATGCGGTTGGCAAAGCTCACAAGCGTCACATTATTGCCGGGCATAAATTAGTATTTATGGTGAAATGAAATTTCATCGAGATTTACTTTATCAACGGAGAGATCGCCGAGCTCTCTCGTTGTTTAATGCGATAGTGATTTTCCGTGCTTACACGTGAGCGAGTGTAATCCACGCGACACGTTGATCATCGATTACCAGCTTAAATCCCGCATTATGCACTGTTTTGTATATTCCCGGAATTTTCCTCGCGTGGGTTATATTGCCGCCGTTGCGAAACGGTGCCCGGGTGGCGATCATTTGGGGAAATGAAAATCGTATTTGTGCGTTAAATACGCTGCGTGGTCAATGACTTGCTGCAATTGAATGAAGAATCTGCAGCAATAAGGATTCATTTTCCAGTAATTTGACTGAATTGATAAAAGTTATATTTCGTATCGATGGATACAATATTATGCCGTAATATCGAATGCGAAAATATTTGAACACTTATCGCGAGAATCTTTGATGCATATATACATTTTCTAGCGTGTCACATATCGTTATGTATAATTGCAATATTTTCAAATTTTGTTACTGAAATTTTGTTACTATAATGAAACGTAACAACTGTCACAATGACATTGGTCAAATTTGAAATTAATCTGTACAGAAAAGTTTTCATTGAATATAAAGATATTTAATAAATACATTTGCTAACATATTTAGCGCGAATAATCATTTAAAATTTAAAGAAATATTTAGTAAATATATTTTTTTAAATAATAATCGAATGTATATATATTTTTAGTATTAGTATAATTAGTAAAAATATATAGTAAATATATTTTTTTAAATAATAATCGAATTGAAATGTAATCAAAATTCATTCAAGCGATGAAATATCTACAATCATTGTCACGTAAGAGAATTGAGTCATTCGCACGTGTTTTTTTTTTTTTTTAATTTCCTGTAACACGCATCCGTGGTGTAGCTTGAGTCGTTGTTCACATTTAAACGGCTTCCGTCTGACTGATGTGTCCGAAATTTAATACAAGACCGTGCCCAGCTGGTATACTGGTCTCAATTGTCGATCGATTGTTAATTTTTAACGTATAAAGTTAAGTTTTTTCTTTCTTTTTTTCTTTTTTTTAAATCAGATCCCACTATTGTGCCATCGACGAGACTCTAATTGTAAGTAAGGAACAACTTCACCGTCTTTTCCTTCTCGATATTGGCTTACGTGCCTTATCTGTGTTCCTTATATTCCACGGAAGTGCTATTTCACTGAGACCTACATTTACCGACGCCCTATTGAGAAAATCCGGTTCTAATCTTTAATTTCTACGCTCTATGACCCGTTTATTCTCACGTGAGGACGTCTTCTCTTTCTTTTACCGGAGATGCTTTATACTCTTTGTTAATGGCACAAAGTACGTTAGCATGAACGAATATATATATATATATATATATATATATATATATATATATATATATATATATATCAAGAATTGTTCTAACGACTAAACTTCTCTTGCACATCTGAATCAATATTATTAATATTAATCATTATCATAATATAATAATGTGTTATACGGTGGTAACATAAATGGTTATTATACCCATTACGAACAACTCCAATTTCTCATAAATAATTCCAGCCCTAATATTACCTGCCTTCAAGAAACAAATTTCAAAACAATCACCAACCTACACTAAAACATTTCGAGGAGTGGCCATTGTAATTTCGGACAAATATGATTCTACTGAAACCCTATTAAATTCAAACTTAGAAGAATGCCACACCACAGAAACCCAAAGACAGAAATACAGAATCAATGCAAACATAAACCTGACTTCTCAAAATGACATACAGAAAATATTAAAATATCTCAAAAACATAAACTACTACACACATATCTAATGGCACTAGAAGAAAACTAGAAGAAGAAGAAGAATACTGTATTATATTATAATAATATTAATATTACTACTGAAATTCTTGTATAACAAGCCTCTCAATTTTACAAAAATGAATTTTCAATAACATACAAAGTTCATTCTACTAACCGTAGATTTTAATCAACAATTCATTAATATTATATTTAAATTAATGCGCACGGGGAGAGCTTACTATTCGCGTAATAGATAATTTTAGAGGTTGAGCAAAGGTTACCAAGCGCAGTTTCATAAATAGATGGTGTTCTCACATTCACCCTTCAGTGTTGAAAACAAGTATAATAGTTCGTCATAAAATATGTGTCTCTGACAACCGTTAAAACAATTCGTTAGCATAACCCGCATCATCTTCGTCCGATGCTGGATTTTATTGCAACATGTTACCGCGATATTCGCCGCGAAATTTGCGAACATTAAAATATAAATAAAATTCAATTACGATCGACGAATTGAATTACATCGAAATTATTTTAGCTCGGTCGGCCTGTTTTATAAATTTATCCGGCACTAAGGCCCGATATGATATAAAATTACCATTCAAATGTAAATTATGTACATTTTTTTTTTTTTTTTTTTTTTCCCCGCGGATTTAGATAGTGACCTTTCCCATTGGCAATATTCATATTCAATTATTATCGCCATTTTTCTCCCCTCTTTGTGTACTTTGATCAAATGCATCTTTACCACGAACTTGATCTTTCTTCTTTTCTTTAACCTCCTGCTGATGACGTGCAATCTTTCTTGCAACATTTTCTCAGTTTCAAGTATATTTAATTGTAACCCGGGCAAAGCCAAATGACAAATATATTACTTGGTGATCATTTCTACCGGCGAGTGTTTTCCAAAAGAAAAGAAATAAAGCGACGAATTATTGTATATACGGGTTCGGTCACTCGTTATGGTCCGCGAACCCGGCTGCCCTGTGCAAGGGGTTAAGTAAACAAGTCACTAAATGTCATTCACGGATCACGAGAGATAGAAAACAACAAGGTCGTCTAAAAATCTTCTGAAACCGTAGACCAGTGGAAACAAATTTTTAATGAAAGTCAGCTGAATTCTCTTCGCCGCGATGAATGATTTTCCTTTCTGATCCTGAATTACATTTTCCAATAAATTATTCCTCCTCGTCTCTTATAATTTCACCGATCATTCTTTTTACTTATACTCTTCCAGCGAAATGGATGATGTTTGATTGAGAGAGAGAGAGAAAATTAACGGAAAAATATTCTTCGTAGGTGGTGTTTTGACCGGTTGAGGCGAGGCGAGAAGTGGCCGACCAACCAAGTGCGCAAAGACTGACAGAGCAAGGAAAAGAGAGCACGGGAACCAGACAGACGGACAAACGCGGATAGGAGTAGAAACAGACGAAAACAGCGGCGTACGGTACATTTCGGTGGAAATGAATGGACGCGGTAACTACGAGGGCATCCCATCAAGAAGGAACTTCGACTGATTCTAGACATTAAATGTACCCTCAGGAATTCAGGTTTCGCCCGAGGCTCTCGCGAATCTGGGATGGCTTCGAGCAATGATGATATCGGATTAAGCCCGGCTAACAAGTTCGCCGACGTTCTATCGTCCGTAAAAGTAGATAGGTTTTAAATCGAGTCTTGCCCTGGGAACAAGGCAACGTTGTAACGCCGTTACCACGGCGAAAATAATCCGAGGCTTATTGAATCCCGATGATATATAATGGAAGTACACGAGCCGAAGCGGTAATAGTTGGTCGTGTGTGTGTGTGTGTGTGTGTGTGTGTGTGTGTGTGGAGGGCACCTCTCTTCTACTGTATAACGAAATAGAGGAAAACCAAGGGTGAAGGGGTCAGCTCTAGTATTATACGCTGCATATGCCTGTATTGAAAGTTGAAAGAGAGAGAGCAATAGCAGCGGTAGTTAACAGCAGCAGCGGGCACACAAAGAGTACAGTTAACAGTAGCCAGTCCTCTCTTAATTTCCAACTTCCATTCAGCCGTGTGGAGACTTGGTTTTATAGAGAACTCTCTTCGAAAATGTAAATATATATATATATATATATATAATTATATATATACGTACGCATATACCAATATAACTGACGAGGAGAGTGAGAGTGAGAGAAAGAGAGAGAGAGAGAGAGAGACTTAAAAACGTAGGAGAAATCCAACTGTTCGGCGGACGAAGTAAATTGACCACGAAACTGCTTCCAAAGATCAGGCCAGTGATATAGTTACTATCTGAAAGGGTGGAAATGCAACAGATGCCGTTGATAAGCAACGGTGTAGCAACAGGGGGCTCCGGCAAGAACGTATAAACTAATAAAGCCCGTTGTCGCAGTCGCCTCGCCGCCGCCGTTGTCGTACAACATTTAGGAATGTAATATTCGACTTGGGTTGCACACCACCCCGTCAGACAGGTCTCATTCTTGGTCCCTGGCAACTGCAACATCGATAAAGAAGTTACTCAAGAACGCACCGATCAAGAGGGCCGAGAATATATAGGGATTCATTAGAGGAAGATACATAGACGTCTTCACAAGTGTCCTTAGAACGTTGAGTGCGTGCGTGCGTGCGTCAGCAGCAAACTCTCTCGTTTCCTATTGTTGGTTATGGAATGAACCGATGCCCAGCTGAATTCTCCAGCTGTCAGTGCTTCAGGTTCTATTACTGTCATCGAGCATTATCATGACCCCGATGATGCGGCTGCTCCTGTCGACGTTGCTGCTGGTACTGTCCTCCTGCTCGATCCTTCTTTGTTCAGCGAGCGGCGATGGTGGACCGAATAGCGCGATCTTCAACCTGGACAACACCGCGCTGGAGAAGAATCTCGCGGCGATATTTAACAAAGTGGCGCACAGCTCGGCGACCACGAAACGCAGCGTGCCCGCCTACGACGCGCAAGTTTCGGCCAGTACAACGTTGTCGACGGTGCCGTCACCACTGACCACCACCACCACCACCACCACCACGACGACGAGTCCGTCAATACCATCCGTCAGATATCCTCCTGTTCCTCGGGCGACCATGTCGCCGGCCTTCCGCGAATTGCCTTCGTACGCTCCACCTTCTCGCGCTCTCTTCACGCCTCCTCTGCCGCCCGAGTACCTTCATCCGTTTGCGAACAAGCCAACGTTGAGGGGAACCAACTCGGACGTCCATTCGGGTCTGAAAAGACCGGTACCACCGCCGAGCGGCACGCCGGCTCACGAGAGGATACCTATCAGGCCTCCCGATCTTCAGGGTCCCTCTCAGATGCCGGAGAGGCACTCTCATTCTAGAAACAAACCGTTAAACACACCGAGCAAGGAGCAGAACGTGGTGGAGTCGAGCGAATTGGACAGGAGGAACAGTACCAACGAGTTTGTGGCCACTCTGCATTATCCGAGCATCTCGAGGATATTGTCGGGCAGCAATGGCCGTAAGCAGGATATCCCGGAGATACTTTTGAAGCCTCTGGCAACGAAAAATCCGGCACAGAACACGCCAGTGATGCCAACCACTGAGAAGATGACAACGCCGTCTACAACCACGGCCAGGACGTCTAGCACGCTAGACTCGGCCAAGTCTGTCACGCAACCGACGATTTTCAATCTGCCAAACACCAGGAGGCACGACGACGACAGTTATCACGGCTTGAGGAACGAGAACGGCTTCAAGACGGAGAACATTGAGATCGTTGACACGGAGAGGCTTCCGTATCCTCAGCCACAACCCCCTGCTCCACCTCCCAAGAGGCCGAACGAGGCTGGCGACCGTATCGTACCGCAAGTAGACACGCATCCCCTCGAATCCACCTGGCGAATCGCTTGGTTCCTCCACGTGTACGTCGCCGCGATCATGTTCACGCTAATGGCTCTATACTCGATCTACAAGATCGTTCGTTTCAACGAAGCAACGAATCTGCTCACCCAGTCGTACTTCCTCACCGTTCATCTGCTTCTCACGACCGTCTGTACCTTAAGGTGCTTTCACCTGTTCTACGACGCTTACAACCTAGGCCATTCACTGCCCGAACCTTTGTCCCGGGTGCTCATGTATCTGCCGGCACCGTTGTTATCCAGCGCGTTTGCCACTTTGGTGCTGTACCTAGCTCGTTGCTCGGAAGCACCGTCATTGAACAACAGGTTTCTGTCACCGGCCGCGCTGGTGTTGTCGTCAACGGTTCATATAGTCCTTTGCGTCTCCCTGCACGTGTCCACGCACGTGCTTGGCTATCAGGACGAGGCGAAGATACTACCGTTGATCTGCCAGTGCATTTACATCATCGTTTGCGTGATGCTCGGCTTAGGTTACATGTACGTCTACCGGGTGGTACGCTCGCAGATCCTCCTAACGAACAACAAGACGGCAGGGACGAATCACATAGTCGGTGCCGATCCTACCACGATGGCCTTGAGCACCGCCATCACCACCAGCATCGCTACCGCTTTGTTCTTCATACTGATGGGATTCGTCCAACTGTACGGGATATTCGGCAATGTCCAGGAACGACCACAATCGTATCCATGGCTATGGTGGGGCTGGCAGTTCTCCGTTAGACTACTCGAACTGGCGGTGTGCGGTCTACTCGCCTGGGTGGCCAGTCTATCCCAGTACCCGTTGCGAGAGAAACAGCTGCAACAACACCCGGTTCATTCTGGCTTCGCCCTGTTTCCATGCGGTAGCTCGACCTCCACCGAGAATATGGACGACGTGCTTTACCCAGCTATCTGCAGCACCAACCAGGCGATCCAGAACTACACGATGAGAACTGGGAAACAGGTTTACGACGATAGCTTCCCGCTGAACACACTGCCCGAGCATTTGAACATATCAGGTATATCGACGCGTGTTTCACCTACCATGCGATATTCAATGTTATGATCTGAATCCACCACCAGCAAACACTCGTTTCCCGTTTCTGTGTTTCGTTAGAATTTTCTAACTTCTGTAGGTGTCTTGCTTGAATCTTTCTTTCTTTTTTCTTTTCTTTTTTTGTTTTAAATTGCATCGAAACGTGACGAGCAAACCTGAAACGGGTTTTGCGTATAATTTTTGCGTATCTCGTTTAAGTGAATACTTACTTTCTTAATTTTATTTTTAAGCTCGGGGAAAAGTCCCGAGGCGAAGAAAAAGTTGAAGTTCGTTTACCTTCTTAGTTCCCGGACGGAAGTAAAAATCCACTTGTTTTTAAAGCACTTTTACCAAGATGTAATTGCAATTTTCCCCGACGTAGAACGATATTCGCGAGAGAGATTATTTAATAATATTTCCATGAAATTCTTATGACAGCAGATGTGAAACTGTTGTTTTTCCCCCGATAGTCTTGCGAGATGTACAAACGATGAATTAGGTCATCCCGGAGCAACGTGCCTTGAGAGGAGGACGGTCGGAACGCTGACTCTCGCGGTATTAGTACAATATCGAAACCTCGAAATCAGCAGTTCTTTCTACGCTTTTGTCTTCTAATCGACGCGCTATTGCCTTGAAGGTGCCGCGACCGGAATAGCATACTGAACGGGGAACATCGATCTTTTTTTCTATCCGTACATACGTCTGTTTTCTCGACACCGGAAATCCAACTATCTTAAGTATGGTCATTTCAAGTGTTCCTTTATCTCGTCGCGTTCCCTGTGTGAACAATAATTTTAGCAATTTAAACGAAATTTTAATTTTCAACGATCAAACTTTAGATATATACATACCTTTCTGTCACTTAATCGCTCACAATAACCCCTATATACATTCCCCCAGATTTATACTGTCAGTCTAAAAAGAAAGAAACTCAAATTGTCGGTTCATTTAGACGAGATGCACGCCGCGAACTACGAGAGAAACGAGAAGTGGATTGAAAAGAAAGAAAAAACGAAATAATACAATGAACGACGAGCAATCCGTTTTTCAAGTGTGAGGGCCATGTAGCATATACTAAACAATAGTATTGTTGTTGCAGGTACTTTTGAGAGGCATTCCATTCGCAAGTCAGGCACCATGGGCCATTTCCCACATGAGGGTCGCGGTTCGTTAAACCGGCATGGTAATGGGATACAAACTCTAAGGAACTCGGAAAGTCGCGGCAGGCACACGCCTGTGCAGCAAGGAAGTGGCGGCGCTGTCCACGAGCAAACGCCGACCACAGGCTCGACGATGCTCGTCGCCGAGGATGGATTCGTCAGGTTTCGTAGCTTAGGGGCGGAGGACGACGAACTGTCGGACACACCGAGTGTTGTTGGCACCCACGGTAGAGGAAGTTCGCTGGCCGGAAGCGTGAGATTCAACGCGAGACACCCAACGCTGCAGCATCAGCATCCTCATCAGCACCAGCATCAACACTCGCTGCAACATCCGCATCAGAGTCAGCACCAGGCTCACCACCAGTTGTACATCAACACGTAAAAGTCGTATCGTTCCAGGCGTTCCAGATTGTAGACTTCTTGTTCCCGGTTGACTCGGTAAGTTTCGCCAGAAGAAATGAAAATAAACGAAGGTCGTCGAGAAAGAACGATATATATATATATATATATCTTCAGTATCCTTGTATCACAAGTCCCAATGCTTTCGTATCTTATTTAAAGACACGCTAATTCTTAACTTGAAGCGTGAAGACAACATTGCATACATTACACAGTTTTTTCACTGTGCTTTGTGAATCTTCATGTTCTAAAACAATTATGCGTGTCTTTGATTAAGGTAGACTTTAATCAACAACAGGATTATCAACATACAAAAGCATTGAGACGTATGACGGAGGATGGAAGTTATGCACGCATTGCTATCGATAAATGATAAAGTAAAGCAGTTTCCATTAAGAGTTTTTGCCCAGACGTTGTAAACGTGTCTGATATATATAACGCGCCGCGTAATTCCGTTAAAATGAAGAAACGCGAACAGCGAGAAAACGCGGCCTCGCGAATCGTTAAAAGTTGAGATTCCGCGCGTTTTATCTCCCCCCAAGAAGTTGATAAAAAAGTTTACCCAGCAGAGGTTAAAGTTCCTCCTCCCCCCTGCTACGCGGAACAGCGTTAAAAGTAATTTAATAGGAACAATGAATTAACGGGATGGGCGCGCATATGAAATCCTCCCTCCAGCTTTCTGGACGAGATACTGTACTATTAAAATATTTTATATATATATTTTTTCTTGCCGACAGACTCGAAGTTGCGATTGTATAGAATGAGTCCAATGTTTACGACACACTTACGATTGTTTCTTATGCTTTTGTGTTACAGATTACGGTCAGGGAGGATTGTCAACGAAGATATAAGGATATGTTCCGTGGCTGTCTCTCTCTCTCTCTGGCAACTAATGGTCTAAACAAACTCTGAAGAAACTAATTTTACCTTTAACCTTTATGTAAGATACGTCCTTGTGCATAGACAAAATCTTCAAGCGAAAAATGAAAAAAAAAGAAAAAACAGAAAAAAAATATGATGAATTCGCCATTCGCATTCTTCCGCTTCGCGTCTGCGTGTCCGAGCCGGCGAACCTTTGCTGTTCATGGTATTTCGTAATATTTATTTCGAGGCTCTCGATCAAAGAGGCGGAGAAAAGAAAAGAGAAAAGGAATAATAACGAAGATTAGAAAAGATAGACGAAAAATGTATACGTGGAACTCTCGGTAACACAGAGTTTCTTTCCTCTACCTGTTAACGTGGGTAGTGTTCAGGGTATCTCGAACTTCGACATTAGGGGCACTTGGTACTTATTTAAGGCTCATGTGATCTAAACGAATACGATCGTATATCGTCATCGAAATGAAGATGAAAAGGAGGACTTGTAGCAGGCAATGCTTTCTTTCGTTTTTTCCTTCTTCGAGTAGCGAGACAAACTCGGCTGTGGAAACGTATCGGTGTAACATGTGATTCAGTGATGAATACCTGGCGTATGTGGTCCCGTGGATGAACTACAGGCACGCCATCTAGTAATTTAATTTTTCTCACTTTATACAACTGTTTTTGGTTTTTAAAAACCTCTTGTCATTGCTGCAAACTCGTGGTTGACAGGCCGTTGTTTTGACCCGACGGGCTAAATCTCCCGATGAGATACTCGAATTGTTGTTCCAGATCGTTAAGTTTTCACTAGCGAAAATGAACCGCGCGTTTGTACAAATTTAAGGTACTCGACACACCATTTTTATCACCTGTTTCAACCGATACGCGTGTATCCTTCCTCGAGATTTTGCGCGCACGAGATTCCACTGCGTACTTGCTTTTGCGATATCGACAGGAAGTATATTTTATAATGAAGAGTAAAAGCGAAAAAAAAAAAATGTTAAAAAAGTTAAAAAATGGAAACTTATTCACGTGGTCCAAGTAAGATGAACGAAAAAAAAAAAAAAAACGAAACGAGACTCGAGAGGGTTTGTAGTAGTTCTACGAAAGAAGAAGAAAAAAAAAATAACAATAATTCCGAGCGAGTAAGTAGAAAAATGTAAATTCTCCTTCCTTCTTCTTCTTCTTTTTTTTTTTTTATTTTCGTTGTCAAGTTGAAAGGAAGCGAAGTAAAAGGAAGAAGAAGTGTCTTGTTTGTGAACAAGAAGAACCGAGGATACGACGAAGTTGTGATGAAGTTAAAAATAAATGAAAACGAAAAGAAAAGGAAAGAAAAAAAGACTAACGGCGTTGTACAGTCGATAATAATTTATCACTCAGTCCAATTGTAAGATTGATTTAGCAGTTAAGGGTTGGATTAAGAATTCCCTGTTACATATTAAGTTACGTCGATGTAGCCGGTAGATGCTACTGCGCTCGTAGAGACGGATATCAGCGATTTCTGTTAAACGAATTCAATGTCGAGCGACAAGCACGATGTAACGATGTTTCCTCTCCGCGTCGGAGACACCACATACGAAGGATTGAACTTCGCGCACAGGCCAGCATATTTTCTTCTGTTCCCTTCCACTGTCTATTTTCCTCCTTTTTTTTCCTTCCTCTCTCTCCCCTCTATTAATTCCTCTGTGCTTAATCCACTTATTCTTTCCATATTCTTTCTTCTTTTCCTTCTTCTTCTTCTTTTTCTTCCTCTTTCTTTTTTGAAGTCATCTTATTTTATGTATAAGTACGCGTTCCTTTCGCATTGAACCTACGGTACAAAACAGTACTTTCTACCTTCTTCACTTCGTAATATCGGTAATAGGTTAAATAAAGCGGTCAGCGCAGTGTATATGTTTATATGGACATTGTAAATAAGGTATACGAGCTCGTCGTGAGTAGATATATAAATTTGTTGCGATAGAATCTCTGTGCAGATTCTATCCAACGCGCACCGAGGTTCACGTGCAAACAGACATTAATACATGCGCGCACCAGCGCGTGCTTCGAGTATTCACGTACACACCGATCATACACGTAAAACATGTTCATTACACATGACATACACACACACACACACACACACATATACACATACCTAATCTCTATCCCCCTCCCTCATAATTCTCAGTTGTAAATGCAAGACTTGTTTTTAATTTATGTCGAAAGCTGTATTTATTATGTGAAACATTCCACAGCAAGATGGCGATCAATGTGAATGCGATTTTGTGGGATTTTATTGCGATTTTAGATTAAAGGAAAAAGCATAGCGCTGAAGAAAGAGGAACAAATGTAAATAAAAGCTTTTTTGCGAAACACTTTATTATGTTTTTCCTAATTTTCTGCGATTGTGTCAATATTAATCGTTGCACAGGACAATTGTCTGTTTTCTATTTTCTCTATCTATCCTTTTTGTTTTTTTTTTTTTTTTGTTTTTTTTTCATTTTAAAGAAAACGTGTGAAGATTTGTAGTAAATGAAAATGGTCAGACATACAAACAAATATATCACGAACGAAATATCGAAAGCTTTTATATTTTCGCCGTTGTTTCGCTGAAATATCGTTCGATTTACCATCTCTTTAAAGATTGTGTTTGAATTTAATTTAAATCGCCGTTTCGTCCCATATTTCCACGGTGATTGCAACGTTTCACATTCTCACGGTGTACACTAGTATGCACCGTGAAATAATCATCCAGCATAAAGCTTTTAATTTTCTTGATGCCAGTGGAAATTACATTAATTGTCATGACCTAATTACGGATCAAACGGTGCTACTCGCAACGAATAGTAATGCAGTTTAGAGCGTTTATTTCGATGTTGCTTCTTTATAAATTCGTATGGTCAGTTCACGAAAATGGAGAAAAAGGAAATACTTAAAAATGAGTTGTCTGCCGACCTATGTCGCGATGTAAAAGCAATTCTGTATAGATAACGCAAGTATGTCAGGAATAATGTACATAAAGAAATATTTAATAAACCTTATATGTAAAAATTCTGGTTGTATCGGATAACAGTTTTTTACTTTACAAAGAAAAGGGACTAGAATAATTAATTTTCAAATTACATTTCAAACAAAATTGACTTTTTCGAGATATCTTTTAAATTTCTGTACGCAGAAAAGTATTCTAAAATGGACACTGATTTAAAATACTTGTATTATATTTATTGAATTAGAAATCTTGGATTTGAACCTAACATTATATATATATTACAATTGTAACTGACATATCAGATATTCATACTACATGTTAATGACTGAAAGCAATGACATACAAATTAATTGTTTGATGTACATATGTACATATATTCGATTAAAAAAAGAAAGCGTTCAAAAGAAATTGTAACAAATGGCACATAGATAACCATCTGTCAACAAAAAGTTAAAATACTAGGCAAATTGTTTGTTTCACAAAAAAAAATCAGATATTAATGTATGGTATAGTCAAACGTAATTTTTAAAATAATTTTAACTTATAAATTAATCAATGCTTATTAATGAATGCCTATAGAACGCGTGAAGTAAAAATTATTTATCCCTTGTTTTCGATAAGAGGTGTTTAGTTCCATCATTTTGCCACAACGTGGCGCTAATGTTTCTGACCTTGTAGCGACCTCTACTTCGAAGAATTTAGATCAACGACATCTATGTTCATTAAATCGTTCCGTCGAGTTGTGGTATTTAATATAAACAGTAGAATATTTAAAAATTGTTAGTAATTTTATTATCACCATGAAAATATTTACAGAAACTTATATATACTGCAATTATCATGTTAATTATTCATTCGTTATTTAACTTTCATTATTTAATCTTCGTCATTTGATATTTATTATTAGTAATTATATATTTTGTTATATTGATAATATTTTTATACAAACTACTAAAATTAATTACGGAGTTATTATTTTTTTGTAGTATTGTGATATTAATTTATTTATCATCATAATTACTATAACCTCATAAAATAAATAAATTTTCATTTGCAGAAAAACTTAATTTAGAAAATTGAATTGTGAACATTTGCAATTGGATCTTCAGCTTTTTTCATATCCCTTGTGAACCATAAAACACAGAAATATCTACTTTCTGCAATTAATTAATACCATAAACCTGCTAACAGATGGCGCCGAGAGCTCATTACCAATTGGCGCGAGAGTTCAATTAAACTTCCGTTGCATGCACATCGATCAACATATAGAAGTGAATTTCTAAATAATATTTCTGAATATTCTAATTATGTTATATTGTTTGTTAACACAAACACAAACAAAAATAATTTTCTAACAAAAATATTTATTTCAATGTTCTAAATTAAATCAATATGTCGGTCTCAAATATACTTTTTTAACAAATTGTTTAAATTCAGTACAACTGTAAATCATGATTCGTGTGATAAGTATATAAAACAATATTGATTCATGATACACTATAATGAAATCCGTGCGTCACCTCCATGTGGTGGATCTTGGTAATTGGTATCGTTTTCCAAATATTAATTTCTCCGAGTAATACTATTTGGAAACCTAACAAAATTTCGATGTCTCCCAATATCACTATTTGCAAAACGGTATCAAACTACTAAACGGTGAGAACTATGCAACATACAGTTCAGTCTACAGTTCAGCTTGTACATTTCTTCCTTTATCTATTTCGCGGTATAGACTGGACTATAAGAAAATTAGTGTTCCATGGGACAACGAGGAACGCCATAAGATGCATGCGTTTTAATATTAATATTAAGTTTCGTGGGCTTTAACATCAAATTGCATGCGTCTCTGGTTAATCATAATTCAGTTACTTGCTGCAAACTTATTGTGAGCGCAATCTGCTCAATGACATGTTTTTCATCAGTAGCATCCTTTCCCTTGTTTCGTTCAAAGTAAAATTGCCATACCATTGACATAAAATGTGCTGGCAAGGTATATATTTTCAGTGTGAAGACTGCCAATTAATGGGACTTATTGTATGATCTATATTTTAACATTTATTGTGTGATTGTGTGAATGATGAATTTACCATTAGTGCGATCATTATTTAGAAGACACAGTTCCATAGTTCAACATCAGCATTGCGTTTCGCAGATAAGCTGCACACTGAATTTTAAGCATGAGCTATCGAACGTCTGTCACTGCATTATCTAACCAGGACAAATAAAATAAGTACTCGATACTCTTTAAGCAGAATACCAAGCGACGCGTATTACAGAAGGTGGAAGGTATAAGGGCGGGTCTCGAGTGTAGTCACCTCCTCGTGGTGAGACCTGGTAATTGATATCATCATCCAAAAATTAAACATTGGAAAATGATATCAAGCTAAGAACTACACAACTTACAGTTCAGTTTGTTAAAAACTCTTTCATTTGATTGAGTAAATTCAACTGTAAGAATAATTAGTTATTAAGTAAATGATTGACAGAATACAAACTTCCATCGAAGAGTACAACCTACTTCTCGAGATATTATTCTAAAGATTTTTCAAAAACCATATCAATCCGGAGAACATGACTCTAGAACAGGTGAAACTACAGCCATCCGTCCAGCGGTTCTCCTGATACATAGGTTTTTCGAATGAAATTCAATCCCGAATATCTCGAGAACCAGAACGCGTTTCTCACTGAAAATTCGAATTTTGTATCAGCAGCGTATGACAATCGAGGAGGTAGCAGAAATAAACCACGCCTCCAGCTGTTCTCCTGATACATAGGTTTTTCGATTGAAATTCAAGCGCGAATATCTCGAGAATCAGAACGTGTTTCTCACGGAAAATTTCGATTTTGTATCAGGAGAATAGAGCGATCGAGGAGGTAGCACGACTACAACACGCTTCCAGCTGTTCTCCGGATACATAGGTTTTTCGAATGAAATTCAATTCCGAATATCTCGAGAACCAGAGTGTCCATCTCGCTTAAATATCGAATATTGTACCAGCAGCATATGACAATCGAGGAGATAGCACAACTACACCAAGCCTCTAACTGTTCTCCTGATATATAGGTTATTCATAAGAAATTCAAGCGCGAATATCTCGAGAACCACAGTGTCTATCTCGCTAAAATTTCGAAGATAGCACGACTACACCACACATCCAGCTGTTCTCTTGATACATAGGAATTTCGAATGAAATTCAATCTCGAATATCTCGAAAACCAGAACGCGTTTCTCACTGAAAATTCGAATTTTGTATCAGCAACGTATGACAATCGAGGAGGTAGCAGAACTAAACCACGCCTCCAGCTGTTCTCCTGATACATAGGTTTTTCGATTGAAATTCAAGCGCGAATATCTCGAGAATCAGAACGTGCTTGTCACTGAAAATTTCGATTTTGTATCAGGAGAATACAGCGATCGAGGAGGTAGCACGACTACACCACGCCGCCAGCTGTTCTCCTGATACATAGGTCTTTCAAATTGAATTCAATCTCGAATATCTCGAGAACAAGAACGTGTTTCTCACTGAAAATTCCGATTTTGTGTCAGGAGAATATGACAATCGAAGAGGTGGCACGACAAAGCCCCGCCTCTGGCTGTTCTCCTGATACATAGGTTTTTCGAATGAAATTCAAGCGCGAATATCTCGAGAATCAGAACGTGTTTCTCACTGAAAATTCGGATTTTGTATCAGGAGAATATGACAATCGAGGAGGTAGCACGACTACACAACGCCACCAGCTGTTCTCCTGATACATTGGTTTTTCGAATGAAATTCAATCTCGAATATCTCGAGAACCAGAAGGTCAATCTCGCTAAAATTTCGAATTCTGTGTCAGGTGCGTATGTCAATCGAGGAGGTAGCACGACTACCCCACACCTCCAGCTGTTCTCTTGATACATAGGTTTTTCGAATAAAGTTCAAGCGCGAATATCTCGAGAACCAGAACGTGTTACTCTCTGAAAATTCGGATTTTGTATCAGGAGCTTGTGACAATCGAGGAGGTAGCATGACAAAACACGCCTCCAGCTGTTCTCCTGACACATAGGTTCTTCGAATTAAATTCAAGCGCGAATATATCGAGAATCGAACGTGTTTCTCACTGAAAATTCGGATTTTGTACCAGGAGCTTATGACAATCGAGGAGGTAATACGACTACACCACACCTCCAGCTGTTCTCCTGATACATAGGACTTTCGAATGGAATTCAATCTCGAATATCTCGTGAACCAGAACGTGTTTCACACTGAAAATTCGGATTTTGTATCAGGAGAAGATGACAATCGAAGGGGTAGCACGACTACACCACGCCTCCGGTTGTTCTCCTGATACATAGGTTTTTCGAAAGAAATTCAAGCGCGAATATCTCGAGAACCAGAACGTG